AATTGAACTAAAGTATTGTCCAAGCCAAGAAAATCTCGCAGACGGTTTTACAAAAGCTTTGAGTCCGCAATCTCATAAATGTTTCTGTTCAGGTTTAAATTTGAATTGAGGTTGGTACAGCTCAGTGTTATGAGCGAGAGGGGGTGTTGGTATTAAAGGGTTAAGAAGCTCTAGTCAAGACGCTCTAATCACTGAGCAGCTGGAGGTCGTTAGGCTCCCAGAATGTGAGTTTGTATAAATAGTCAACTCACTTGTGTGTTTGCCCCTTCCTCCTTTCTTTTGGGGCGTGTTTGCTGAAATGTGTGGTTCTTCACCAGGGTTTTTTTTGTTTTGTGTAAATAAACCTTTTATTTGAGTTCCAAACCGCTTGCTCCAAGATTCCTTTATTGAAAAGATGCTGACTCTCGAGCCCTTCTTGAGCCGCTGTGCGAAAAGCTCTGCTGTAATGGGACATTGTGGCATTGGAAGCGCACTGGACATATGCTAAGCATTAAACTAATTAAAGTTTAATGGACAGGATTGAGGGCTTGAAGAGAGCTAAAAAAAAAAGGAGTAGGAGGCATGGAAATGGGGTTGAAGATGAAAGCATGGACAAAAGAACAGGAGAGGTGGTGCCTTCAAAATTGGGCAGAAGGTGAAAAGGGTGCTTGGTTGCTGGTGCAAGGGGTCACTGTTAACCAGAAGGTTGATGGTTGGAGCCCACCCAGGGACAGCTATGGGCAGGATTTGTGCATTGCAGGGAGTTGGACTAGATGACCCTCGGATTCCCTTCCAACTTACAAGTCTATTATTCTAAGGGGGGAGGGAGATACCGCTCACCATGGGGTGGTTTGTGTGCAAGGTGCAGTTTCACAAAGGGGGGGGGGTGAGGCTAGTGCATGGGGGCGTAGAATAGAAAAGTAGCTCCAGAAATGGGGTGGGAAGATCCAGTGGGTCAGAGGGAAATGGCTGGGGGGCTGGCAAGTGGTGCGAGCTGAGGCACAGCCCCTAGTTATAAATGGGTCAATAAATATAATTTTGTATCTTAAAAAACAAAACTGTCCAGCAGGGCAGCTGTATGAATCTTGCCCCAAGACTCCTCTTGGGTTTGCTATGTGCTTACATTTTTGTGGCATTAATTTGGTTGTAGACTCTGCTTTGCCCCTACAAGTCTAATTTTCCAACAGCATATAAATAATGGTCTAGTTCAACTGTTTCATGCTGGAGTCTCTCTTACCAGTACATTCAATTCTATTGTCTTAGTAATAATTATTTATACCCCGCCCATCTGACTGGGTTTCCCCAGCCGCTCTGGGCGGCTCCCAACAGAATATTAAAAACACGATAAAAGATCAAACACTAAAAACTTCCCTAAACAGGGCTGCTTTCAGATGTTTTCTAAAAGTCAGATAGTAGTTTATTTCCTTGACATCTACCGAGAAGGCCCTCTGCCTGGTTCCCTGTAATCTCACTTCTTGCAGGGAGGGAACCAGACCTCAGAATGATGGGGGTGGAGACATTTATTCAGGTATACTGGGCCGAGACCATTTAGCGCTTTAAAGGTCAACACCAACACTTTGAATTGTGCTCAGAAACATACTGGGACTTAGTTGAGAAGCTGTTCTTCCCATTGAAGCTGTCAAAATGTATGCCTACTTTTATAGAAAAGCCTGTTGGGCTACCACATTATATTCTGATAAAAGCAGCCTTCTCCAATCAGGTCTTCCAGCTGTTCTGGACTACAACTCCCATCAGCCCTGGTTGGGGCTGATGGGAGTTGTAGTTCAAAACAACTGGAGGGCACCTGGTTGGGGAAGGCTGGAGAAAAGCAAAAATGAAGGGTGCCCCCCTCCCCAAATATATTGTGTGATCTTGGTACTAAAACAAGTGTGATCATTCTGGAGTCCTGTGACGTAAGTTGATGCTTGCTTTCCCCACCTCCCTCCTTTATTCTGCCAAATGGCACGGAACGACGATTATTTTTGGTCAGTACTTTCTGATCCCGAAGAAAATGGCTTTATTGTTCTCTGAATTGTGCCCAGAAGGGAACAGGAAGCCTGCAAGCTGGTGAGAGAGTGCTGCTGGACATGCTCTGGGTGGGGCACAGCCAGTAAGGGAACGGCGGGGGGGGGGGGGCGTGTTGCTGGGCTGGTTCTGCAGCAGCTGGTGTTTTCAAAGAGGGAGGAATGCATCATCGGAGGGACCCCACCCTTGAAAGAGTTACTTGATCCAGGTGAAGTGAAGCAAAGCATCTGCCGCAAAGGATTTCTAACAAATGCATTTTGAATTACAAAAAGAGTTTTATCAGCTTTCCACACTACAGTTTAAAAAAAGAGAGAAAGAGCTATTGCAGCTATTGTTTCAGGATGAAAATGCCTGTATGGTTGGATACACCACGGGGCTGTTGTTCTTATACACACAGAAAGGACTGTTCGGGTCTGTCCACACCTTGGCAGAATGTGGATTTTGCACCCCTTCTGATCCGATTAATTCCGCCTCGTCCATGCAACATTCTCCTTCAGCTACTTTTGTCCCACACTTTCTCCTCCATAAATCTAGACTTTTTCTATGCTCAGAAAATCCAAAGAGAGTCAGCCCACTCAGCAGTCCTGTGGTGTTCTTGCATTTGTTTTTCCAAAGTAGTTGTTTTCACTCCTTCCAGTTTTCCACGCCTTCTGCTAGGTCCTTTGATCCTATTTACAAGTCTGGCAATGAACTTGGCTGCTTCTGCTTTGTTAGTGAGAGTTAAAGTTGTTTCAAAGGATTTTTTTTCTTTCTTTCTGCAAATTATAGTATTGTTATGAAGTATTGTTCAGAGGTACCAGACCCTCTAATGCCTGGATCCAGCATGTGTTAAAATATATGCCAGGCTAGTTTCTAGATGAGGCTTCCAGATTAAGAGACTGAAGCTCTGTGTGAGACAACAAACAGGCTCCTCCTTCAACTTGCAGATAGTGAGAAGACAAATGCCAGAGTCTGGAGTAGAGTTTGGGGGCTGTGATGTAAACTAGAAGAGGGGCAGAGAGCAATGTCTGATGTCTGTTTGAATCCAAGATCCTTTTGGGATATTAATGCTGTGAGCACTTCCATCATGGCTCAGATTGTATAGATGTGTGTAAATAAACCGTATATCACAAAGACACCACAGTCTCCGCTGTGGCCCATTGTGAAGGAAACACGGATCCTGGGTAAGTGCCTGGAACCTCGCACAGCTCAGAGATTGGGCTGACGTGCAACAGAATAATTTCTAACTTGTTTCCATTGTATTTCTGCAGGGTGTTTTTTTATCCAGGCTCTCAATACCTATCCAATTTTTTGCCATCACATACCCCGACATGCCTCATAACCGATGGCGGAGCAGGAGAGCGGTCCTTTTTTGTTAGGAAAAGGAGTCACAAAAAGAGTTCCCCTTAAAAAAAAATACATAAATATATATAGAAAGAATACTGCATTTAAAACAATTTGTGGACGTGGTTTCCTCTTTGCAACAGTTCCCTCGCACGTAATCAACAGGTATGAGCGCTTTCTACGGAGACAGAGGTTAGAGGCAAGATACCCCTGATAAATAGGGGAGAGACAGGCATGGAGGGTTCCAGGTTTTAATAGCCTGTACGCCAACCACTCAGCTATGAGCAGTGCAAGGACAAAGTGATCCCTGAAAGTCTGGATTTCCGAAGCAGGTAGGATGAGGCCTTCAGTTCCACAGGAGGCAAGGCAGGACATCCAAGCAGAATGTGACCCCTCACTGGGTCATATGCTGGTGCTGCTCGGCTGTAGCTTGATGCTGCTGGAATTGGTGCTGTAGAAGTAGGAGGAAGACCTGCGGGACTGGAGGGTTTTTGCTAAGTACCAAAGGAAGATGAGGAACCCTGTGGGGAGAGAAGAAGAGGGAAACATGAAAGGA